AAAAGTTTTATATTTCAATATTAAGTCGTTCATTTACTTATATATATATTATATTTCAAAATAACCATGGCAGCATATATGGACGTATTTCGATACTAAGTAAAGGATTATTTTTGATCTATCTCGTACAGATGGAAGATAAAAGAAAAGGATATATAATGATGTCATCGTATAGTAAAAACAATAGTTCGCTAGTTATAAACAGCCTATTTGTATACTATACGAAGAACGAAAAACATTCAATGATCGTGGTATATGTGTCACTATGTAATAGTGCCAATGTAATTGCACAATATCAGTTGGTTTCATCATAAGGATAGTGTATACAGAATTTACTTTTGAAGTTTTTCTGAAAAAGCGAAGTCTGTCATTTTCTACAGTCTTTCTTGGCTGTTATTGTCAAGTACAATCAATTTTCGCTGCTATAAAAATAAAATGTATTATGTTTCAATACTATGTCGTTCATTTACATATATATTATAGTATTTTCTTCTTCACAACTGCGCTCACATGCTGAGAGCAAACGTGGAGTCGATTTTATCGTAATGGCCTTATACGCAGCGATGACGACACTTTGTCAAAAATGTGTAAAAATCAAATTTTACCATGTGCGTAGTATAAAAATCATTCTCTTTCTCATTCTTTTCTTATTCTCTCTCACGAACCATACACGAATAATAAGAAAAGAAAATATATAAATTTTTTGTGCTGTGCAAGTATACTGTCTTCCTAGCACTTGCCATCGTACATTTTTTTCGAATATGGCTAATAACAAACCTAAAACGACGCGTATTGTCTGTATTAGTGATACACACTCACGGTATGGTTTTACACTTCCAGCTGGCGACATTCTTGTTCATGCAGGTGATTTTTCGATGTCAGGTGAGCAAAGTGAAATTGAAAATTTCATAACTTGCCTCAAATCTCTTACTCAATACCGATTGAAAGTGTTCATTGCGGGTAATCATGATATAACTCTACAACCAGCTTTTTATGAGAAAAATTGGGAAAGATGGCATCGTGGTCGAAAACAAAATTGGGAACTGATTGGGCGGCTTGTACGTGATCCGTCTCTGGCAGCCAACTATGGGATTATTTATCTGGAAGACCAACAATTTATTGACAATGTCACCGGCCTAAAATTTTATGGCAGGTAAGATGTATATGCATAGCTCTGTTTTCTTCTGTGCTACTGAAATTTCTTTTCTTATTTAGTCCTTATCAACCAGAGTTTCATAATTGGGCCTTTAATTTGCCAATTAACAGTATCGAAATCAAAGAAGCATGGTCCCGAATTCCGAATGATGTCGATGTCCTTTTGACACATGGTCCGCCTACAAATATTCTGGATGAAAATAGTGCAGGCATACATGTTGGGTGTGCTCAAATGCTTGCACGTATCATGTCTGTCAGACCTCGTTTACATGTTTTTGGACATATTCATGAATCATATGGGCGACTAGAAAATGGTTCAACCATATTTGTGAATGCATCAACTTGTAATTTGAGCTATCAACCTGTCCAAGCACCAATCGTGATCGATTTAGAACTGAAGAGTAACCGATGAAATGATTTTACTGTTGAATTAACTGAACAAAATAACATTTTGTTAAAACGCTTGACGGTGATGCCAAACGTAAAATTCATTATTTTCAATCCCATTCATAAAACAAAGAATAACTAGGGGTGTGTTAAGCTACCATGGTCTCGATATTTCATTTCAGCAACGAGAATTTTCAAATGGCACTCATAACGAAATATTTCTCAAAAAGAGAAATTTTCGAAACAAAGTCGATGGTGTTTTCTGACGGAGGGATGTAGTTGTGGATTTGATTATTCTTTTGGCCTTCACAGAGACCCATACACTCGCCCGTACACCCATATCCTCCCATTAAACCTAGAATTGAGAATTCCTATTATTTGAGCTGTTTGTCCAATCGAATCATAATTTTTCCAGCAAGATTCACATGTCACATATTCTAATCAAAATATATCTCTGGGCACTGTCTGATAATAAATACAACATACACATATTCAAGCCCATATATTCGTTTGTTGTGCTCTCAGATATTACCATGCACTGTAACGTGTGGGTGTGTGTCTAGTTCTCCACTTAAGCCATACCCGCATCTATACCCACAGTCACATCCTAATTTTTTTGTTTAAAACCAAAATTATCACTTCCATAGTTGTCATTTTTAAGACTTCTACTGACAGAAATCAATTTAACGGTGGGAATTAGAGGCGTTATGGATGCTCTGATGAACGACAAAGACGAATCTGCCTGACCCTGTGCCACTGCTTCCTTACGAAAGTAAAAACAACAGATGGAGAGAGCGAAACAAGCTGTTTCTCATGCTTGCTGTAATGATCACCGATGCGTGATGATAGTGGTGGAATTGGAGAGAGAGACAACTCTGCCTGATGCTGTGCCACCAGGTGTGAGCGTGGATGCAGAGACAATAAACAAACCCTCACATCCACATCCACACCCACACCCAGCCTAGTAAGTATTTGTAGTAATAGTTTCACTTCTGGGATAACTTTATTTTTCAAAAAAATTTAAATATCTCCCGAAAACCAATTTGTATCACCAGCAGTTCTAAAGAGAGAAAGAATAGATACATACATATAGATTGCTGCTGGCAGTACTATTCATTCATATCATCACCTACCGAAAAGGCCAATTCTGTTCAAAATCTACCAACCATTGAGGATTTGACCACAACTCCAAATCGGTATAGAGCGGAATTGTTAGATTTAATTCTTTCAGCACCATTCTCATCACATCATCACACCGCGCGAATATTCGCAGTGCACATTGATCATCCTAGGGAGTCTTCTGTAAATCTATATGTATGGAAAGAAAATAAGAATGTATGTTGAGAAAGGTGTGAAAAAGACGCAGAAGAAAGTATACTTACTGACAATGACCATCTTCTTTCGTCCAGATTTTAAATTCATAGATGGAAGGTCACATGCAGGCGAAACTCGCATTGACGTTCCCATACATAGACTTAAATCGCACATCTTTGATTCTTTAATTGCTTTATCCAGACAAATATCAGGCATCGATTGAGTAAAGGCAACGGTAGTACAACGTAAACGTCCATTGCAATTCGGTACTGTACACATGTTTCCCGTTAGCCAAGTTTTATGTTCATACTGATTGACACGTGTTTGTCTGTAGTAGACTTTCCCACACTTTGCGCAAGCTTCACAATTCGAGTTTCCGTGTAGCTCAGCAATTTTGTTCGCAGATATTCCACTCTTAAGGTGAAGACCATCACAGTTCTGAGAAACTAAGAATTTGAGATAGCCGTTTCTCATCAACTCGACATAAGCCATATGTGTCAGTGTTGGTTCTGGATTGCGCACAGCCGATGTTGGTGGTACAAAACCTCTCGCTCGAGCTGTCCAAACACCTGTAGGACCGCGAAAATCATTGATGCCAGCTGCTGTCGATATACCAATTATGATCATTTCCAATATAGAATTCTTTTTTTCTGTAAAGAGTGAAGATCCTCTACCTGCTCCGGTGTAGACAATGAAATGTTTTGCATTGCGAATGCAATCTGATAAAGTTTTGATTTTTTGATCAAGTTCCTCTGTAAATATAATCAGATGAAAAGGATGAAGATAGGCAAACTTATGAATATACCTGGCGCATCAAAATATTCTTTAATTTCTTCATCGTTAAGTGCGGTGTGTGCCATTAAAAAAAAATCAAACAATATATTTTATAGATCTGAAAAGGGAAAAGACATAGATTTATACAATTATTCAGAAAATTATTTCAAGATATGCGAGTAGATTTTATCATTTCGAGCGTAGTTTTAAGAAATTTCGATTAATAAATCATGGAGAAATTTTGAATATTTTTAGTTTATCCAGTGTTTGTGAGACTCCGCTGATGTCAAAGACTGAATCTTCTGAATGTGCATGCATGGTAAAATGAAGTTTATTGCATTACAGAAGATTACTGTACGGTCTCTACAGAAGAAAACAAGTCTCAAAAATAGAATAAAATGACTTATAGGATATCACAAAATACAACTCAAAATATTTCTAAACCCTAGGAAAAAGACAGAACATTCAGAACATAAGAAAAAACTTCTTATATACGAGATCATACAAATCCTCTGGTAATAAAAGTTTGACTCGTTCCTTGCAACTATTCATATTAAATCAGTATCACAAAAGGAAAACAAGTAAAAGAAAGAAAAAAGGATGATTCATCGAAGTTGCACAAGTTTGTGAAAATATCTGCCACGTCATTTTGATCTGCTGACTAATGCAATAAACGCACTTGTCTTTTAATGCTTATTTCAAAATGCACTATGGAAGACTGTTTTAATAACTAGACCTTATATTAAGGTTTATATATGTGTTTAGAATCAGCGCCATCTGAGTAACATTTTTATATAAAATATTATGCTAGTCATTTTTGAATTTAATCATTTACGATAAAGATGACGCTAGTAAATGACACTGAGAAAATAGAGAAAATACGAAAAACTAGGATGAAAATATAATATAGGGAATGTTGTAATGTAATCTATATCTACTTTTTCTGTAAAATCATCCTTTGAATATATCCAGTCAAAAAATGACTGGAACAAGTGCATTAGTGAATTCGCTTTAGAAACGATGGATTGAGTCATCCGCATCAGCTGGTAGATCATTTGTAGAGAAAGGAAGTGTGCAATTAATAAAGATGAGTGACAATGGGAGTGACTCATAGATTTTGCGCGATTTCTCAACCTAGTAACTTTATCTATAGAGAGGATCATTGCTTTTTCTATCTTCATCGTAATCAACCGTCATTAAAGCTAAAAGTTCCGACTGTTCGGAACGTTTCTTAAGACAAGATCAATAGACGATCACAAACGTAATCATTTGACTAGATACAGTACCACCGACAATCAAAACGTTTTTTTATACAAAAAGATGATAATGACTCTTAGGATATTGTTTGTGAAATTAGATATTTGACAGGCTCTAACACATACTATTCTTCAACAAATAATAATCAAGCAAATATGGTTTCTTTTTTCACTTCATAAAAGATCAATTTAGCATTGCTACAATGTCAACATCGCCATTAATCATTGTTTTGTATTACATTGTATACTTTATATAGAATTCCAATGATACATTATGTTGTCTCGTATATAATTCAAGTGTTATCATATTTTATTGAGGAAAATCGTGACTGAACTGTCTCGACAAAGGTCGCCATGAATATATTTGAAAATAAACAAATTATACCACATCGATGATAATGAAGCACAATATGATGTGAAAAAAAAGGGTGGGTGTGAAATGTGGAGTGTGGGTGGCTGGGTGTAGGTGTGAAGCTTAGATTCACCGACACCCACAGCCACAGCCACGGTCACACCCACCCACACCCACCTATACCCACATCCCCACCCTTTCTTCAAAATCAACAGAAGTTTTCTTTCCTGCTGTTGATTATTGATCTACACGAATGATATGGCAACCGTCAACGTAATTAAATGAAATTCTAACTGGTGTAACAAACTCGACTCTAGCTGAAAATTAGTTTATATTTGTAAGAAAATTGTCAACGATGCTAGGCGTCAAGAGCCAAAAGCTAATCACTTATACCATTATATGAAGGGATAACAGTCTAAGTTAAATAATTGTTTATATCAAATTTTGTAAATGACTACTTTAGCTATATTTAATTCCACCGTCGATTTATTTAAATATATAAAAAAAAATGATTTTTATTGAGAATATGAAATTTTATTCGTTTACGTGGATCTGAAAAAAACAACATTAAGGTTTTCTTTTTCATTCTTTGTGCAAAAACTTGAGTAATCATTTATTAGTAATAGAAAAACAAGGTAGACAGTAAAAACTCTTATTTACTAGGGAAAAAAAAGAAAATTTTAAGATCGATCTGTTGCTTCATATCCATCAATAATAATTACATATGAAAAAGAACAAACAATATGATAGAAACCCTATGATCGAATTAATATATCTGATGGATGAATAACAATATTACTTATTCAAAAATAAAACCAACTCCTTGATTTTAAATTGTTTTTATAAAGAAAGTCATTCCTCTTTCAGTTTAGTAGCAAAGAAGTTTTCAATTGTAGAACTTTCATCTACTAATCCCATGTATCGACAAAACATTTTGAGAAAATATTCCTTAATTTTTGAAGTCAAAAATATTTTCACGGGAGTTGAATGATAAGAGCTTCCTCCTTAGGTATTTTTCGAGTACAACAAAAATAATAATATCGACGAAAACAAAAATTGGTTTTTGACAGAAAATAAGGCATGTGCTACTGATAGTGTTTGTTCAGATTGAATCATATATGTATATTTTATTTACTATCATCAATATTCAACTGAAAAATTGATTATATATCAGCAAATCAATCATGTGAAATCGAAATTTATCTTAAAGTAGACGTATTGAAGTGATTTTTATTTTTAACTTTTTTTTTCTTAATAAAGAATTTTGTTTCAATTGATACAAATACTCGTTTAAAAGTTCCAGCTGGATATTAGCGATTTAATTTCAAGAGAAATATTCATTCGATGGGATAGACATCAAATTTTATGAAAACTTTTTAATTTTCTGTACAGTTATTTGACTTTGTCTTAACAAGTTTTCAAATAATAGCAGCACGGTCGTATTCAACAGACTTGTTGATCTTGTGTTTCCAAGAAAATGAATATGTTCATTTGAATAATGCACTCTAATCAATTTTCAAAAGTCGTACGAAAAAATAATTCTATGATTTATGATTCACCTTAATTGCTTTTGTTTTTTCGATGATGATGATGATGAATAGAAATTTCTTCTGATCCAAAAAAAAAGAAAGAAAAGAATATGTATTGTCCATGAAGGACTGTATATGAACAAAGGACAAGTATTCACATTCATGCACATGAAAAACGATTAAATCAATTCGTGTCTCATCATTTCAATTAATCATATGATGATTAATCAATTATATTTGAATGTGCACATCATCGTCAATTATCGTTCGTCAAATTGATATCAACATTATTAGAATATTTTTGATTGATAATGTGTATGTTTGAACACATATATAAGAAACACATTTTCACCAGTATTCTCATACGATTCGATCAAACAAATCATGAGCGTGCTCAACAAAGATAAAACATGACACTCACATGATTTTTTTTACGGATTACAATTTTTTTGTATTACTTACAATGATTAGTATTATTTTACATTATGATTTTTCATGAATGACATACAGTTATCAATTTATAATTATTTATAATATTATAAATGAAACATATTTACAATACTACATATGAGTTTATAGTGTATGAAAATGTATACATTTATACTGGAATTTGTTACATAACGTTATGTTAGCCCTTTGAATTCCATGCTACGAAAAACAAATCTATACATGTTTAATAATTATTATGTAATCTACTGGAATGTAGCAATAAAGAATATTCAACGGTGTGGATGTGGTGGGTGTCGAGTTAGTAGATATGGGTGTGTAGGCGTGCGCGCGTGAATCCGTATGCGAGCATGTTGGTTTTTATGTGGACGTGTCAGTGTCCAGCAGAAATAATTTGGGACGCAAAGAATTAAAATACATTAATTTCCGATGATATTTATTGATCGATATTATATAACGATACATTTTTTTAGAACGAAATCTATTGATTGGTGTTATTAAAATTCATTTCTGTACAATTCAATAAATGCATTATTTTACAATGAAATTTATCAATTTATGATGTATTAAAATGTTTTGATTAACGATGAAGCTTACTGTATGATATTGTGTTACAATGCATTATTTTAAAATGAAATTTATAAGTTTATAATGCATTAAAATGTATTAAATTACAATGAGATTTGTTGTATGATGTTCTGTTAAAATTCATTAATTTACGATAATATTCACTGAATGATATTATATAAAGATGCATTATTTTAAAATGAAATATGTAAGTTTATGATGCATTACATTGTGTTAAATTACAATGAAATTTATTGTATAATGTTATGTTAAAATGCATGAATTTACCATAATATTTATTGAATGATATTACATAAAAATATATTAATTTACAATGAAATTTATTATATGTTGTTAAATTCATTGCTTACAATGATATTTATTGAATGATATTATTTAAAGATGCATTATTTTACAAAGGAATGTATTGTATTATATTTTGTTAAAATGCATTAAGGGTGTGGGTGGGTGGGTGTGGGTGTGGGTGTGGGTGTGTGGGTGTGGGTGTGGGTGGGTGTGGGTGTGGACGTTGGTGTCAGTGTGGGTGTCGGTGTGGGTGTAGGTGTGGGTGTAGGTGTGGGAGTGGGTGTGCTTTACCTGTTTAACCCACACCCACACCTACACCCACACCTACACCCACACCTACACCCACACTCACACCCACACTCACACCCACACTCACACCCACACTCACACCCACACTCACACCCACACTCACACCCACACTCACACCCACACCCACACCCACACCCACACCCACAC